GGTGCCCTGAGCCACCTGCCCCCTTCACATGGCTTCCTGGGGGCTCTCGTATGCATAAACTCAGGTGTGGGGGCGAGGAGCGAGCTCCAGTCACAAAAGAGGCTCCGTTCACGTGTATAAAATGGCTGGCGTGGTTTCAGGAACAGCCGAAGGCCGAATATTAGGAGGAAGTTACCCGGTGCAGGGACCTGGTCCCGCAGAGGAAGATTTTATATGTATTCTTATTTTCTCAGAACCTCACAAGTGCCATCTATTCACTCTCCTCGGGGGCGAGTCTGCTCTTAACCACTCTCACCCGTGGGGGTTTAGCTGTGTAAGCAAGCCCGCCCACCTGCCTCCCAGTGAGAGTGTGCCCGGGACAGAAGCTGGGACGACACGGGAGCCACTGCCTGCGAGAGACGCCGGCGGGGTCCCCACGGGGCGCACAGCTCCCATGCGTCCTGAACACACCACGCAAGGGAGCCTCTCACCAGGGGCCAGACTCACGGTGTGCAGCGGCCCCGGGGGTGTCAGCACTGCTGTCTAGTTAGAGCGGGCACTGGGCGAGGCTGTGGGCGCAGCAGGTGTCGAGCAGGGTGAGGTGGGGCCTCAGCCTCGGCTGGGCTGGGCACGGCCTCTGCCTGGCTCCGTCGGTGGAAGAGACTCACCCAGGATAGCTCATGAGCCAACCCCGAGCTATTTTTGCTGCCTGTCCATCCCTTTGAGAGCCGGTGGCCTCGGTGTGCTGAGGACAGTGAGGCGAGATGCACTGGGGAGCTGAGGTCAGATGAGCTGCCCAGTTAGATATTTGGGACAAAAGTCGACAGCCCGTTTTAGGTCGGCCTATTCCAGGAAGGAAGGGAGCTGTGAATAACTCCACTCACGCCGTGTGGTGTGACCTATATTTGTGCGGTCAATACACCCTCAGAAACGTGTGTGAAGGGAGCAGAGTTACAAAACCGCGTTCCCGTCCCCTCCCAGCGCTCCTGCCCCAGGCGCCTTCTCGCGGCAAGTGTTCGGGCGTCGGGTTTGCAGCGAAGGGACATTTAGTGTTCACATAATGCCCGGTTATTTGATTCTCCCAATCAAAGGTGATTGATTATCGATCCTCATGGGCTCGCCGCCCCCGTGGACCAGCCCACGGAGGGTGAGCCCCTGGAGGGTCTGCGAGGAGTGAAGGCCCCTTGGGAATATCTTAGAACGGGGACAGCTTAAAGACGGTGGAGAAACACGGTCTTTGGAGCCGATTCTTTAAAACCCCAGTTTGGACGATTCCACTCCGATTCCCCCTTAGACTGTATCAAAGTTCAAATGAAACTAAGGAATCAGGAGGCTCTTGCCATCGCAAAACATACAACGCTGATGGGCCCACAGGGCGTCTTAAAGTGTGTCCCACCCTCGGGACTTTAGATTCTTTAAAGAGTTTTGTGTTTGCTCTAAGCAGCAGAACAGGCACGTGTGAAGCCAGCCGACACGGGGGTGGGTCTGCGTGTGGAGCGTATCGCCCACGAGGCGCACAGGGCCGGGCCTGGCGGGGCTGAGGGAGACACCGCTCGGAGGGGAGCCGCACTCGCCGTGAGCACCTGTGCTGCGCCCCCACTCGGGCGTCCAGCTCACTTTTTTGATATTTCCTTTGAACAATGTCAGCATTGCCCCACGCTCTGGGAAGCCCAGGGCAGAGAGGGGAGGGCAGGAGACAGGCCGCCCACGTGCTGGGCGCAGCCCCGGCGCTCAGAAGCACCGGGGAAATAACTCAAGTGGGAATCCGCCCGAGGGGACCAGGGCCTTTTCTTGGGAGAAATCTGTCAGCCAGACCCAGCTTCCTGCCTGACCCCGGGCCGGTGAGCGTGATGAAACGGCCTTTGTGTCCACGGGCTTTCCCTGTGCGTGAGTAGGGGCGGCGTGGCCGCGTGGCGTGCCACCAGCTGCACATGGGAGCCGCTCAACGGTGACGGTGAGCGGTGCCCACCCCCTGAGGCCGGAGAGGCCTGGTAAGAGAGAAACCGCACGCCCTTCGCAGCGGGGACAGGGCGCAGGGACCGAGTTGGGTTCCGGAGCTCACGTACAGCTGCGACTCATCAGCTGAATGTGAGTGGAGGACATGGGTGGCTTTAGGATGGATACATACATTCCAGACCTTTCCTGGACCCCCGGCCTGCGAACGTCAGTATAACTTGTACCTTTCCTTGTAAGAGGAACCCCCTTCCCCCCCGCCCGAGGTCTCAATAACTATACAAGGCGTTTGGTCCCCGGTTGGCAGCTGGCTCTCAGGGCTCAGCCATCAGCCATGAGGTGCTTCCTCGGCTTATGGACGACAGCTCATCTCGGGACACACACACCCACGCACGCGCGCCTGCGGGGGCAAGGGGACCATGGGTGGGTGCCCTGTCCCTCCAAGGTCCTGGGTTTCTGTCAGCCCCTCTTCCCCACTTACCCTCCCCTCCTGCCCACCCCTGCCCCCAGGACTCAGCAAGAGCTCTGCCTGCTGACTTGGGTGTCCTCCCATGTGATGCATTAAATATTAATGCTGTGGTAATTATTAATTATTAATTCAGCACTTTTGTCCTCTTAATATCTGGCCACGGGATTAATATTTGACTGCTCATAACCTGACCTATAGCAATGCCGTCGTCTCCCCTCACGGGCTGGGAATGCCGGGCCCACAAGCTGGTTTCACCGACTCGGACTTGGGGTCCTATCCCACCCCCACCCCCTTGCAGCCCTGAGCTCCGGCCCCCATCCTCTCCTCACAGCACGTGCTCGGGGCCTCTGTGCTCGGCGTCAGCAGCCCCTGCACCGCCAGGCCGCCAGCCGTCAGTGCTTCCGTCCCCTCCTGTCCCTCTGGCTGTCCTCCTCGGGGCCGTGTGTGACCTGTCAGAGCCGCCTGGGCAGGTGTCGGCCTTTGCGTTTTGTCCTGCCTAGCTGTGCCCTTGCACCCGAGACTTCTGTGCAGGGAGCAGGAGACGGGAGGGCCAGGGTTCTGGAGAGTTCTGTGAGCTCATTCACTGGGCACGCACCTGGGGAGCTCCAGTGGGGAGCTGCCAAACTTGTTTTCCAGTCCCAGGCCTGCTCCTTCGCGCAGGCCGCGTGGTTCCTCCTGGCCTTTCCGCGGCCGGGGCGCCAGGTTAACAGTCACCTTCAGATTGCGCTCTGAGGAGTGGAGGGGCGAGGGCTAATAAATAACGCGCTCCAGTGTTTGCTGTGCGCCGGGCTCCGCGACGGAGCAGATAATAACTAACCCACTGCTCGCGCCCCCCGTGCCTTTGTTCACCCCCAGCGGGAAAACAGAAACCAGGGGCCCCTGGGCCAGGGCTGGGTCAGCACGTGACCCCGCTGCTCTCCGACCCGCCAGTGCGGAGCAGGCGCCTCTGGGAGGTGGAGGGTCTTGCTGTCATGAGCTCGGGGCCCCTTGTTTGTTAAGTGGGTGTCACATGGGGCCGTTAGGGGAACAAATGAGCCCGAATACGTGACCAGCCATGTGCTGCCGCAGAGTCACCTCAGCTGTTATTTACCGAGTTGTTAAAAAGTGACAGATCTGGAAAACACAGAAAAATGGGGTCAGTGTTATTACAGTGTATTGGGTTACCAGTGAGCGAAACTAACTCGGCTGGAGCACGATTATTCCACGGCTGTTGGAATGTTGGACAAAGCTCCCAGCAGGAAGCAGCCGGGACACGCACAGCTGCCCGAGCCCGACTCCCACCCCAGCTCCCAGCTCCCCCCCTGCCCCGGCCCTTCCCTCCACCCCAGAGTGTGCTGGGTCCCCGGCCTCCCCACGGATTAATTAGCAGGTTCTCCGGAGAGACGGAACCAACGGGGTGTGCATTTACAACACACATGTACCCCATACACATGGTATTTCAGGAATTGGCTCACATGGTTGTGGAGTTGCAAACCCAGACGCTGTAGGATGGGGCGGCAGCCTGGACACCCAGGCTGGAGCTGCAGGGAGTCTGCAGGCAGGATCCCCTCTTGCCCAGGGGACATCAGTCTTCTCTGGCCTCCCACTGATGGGGGAGGCCCGCCCACAGGGGAGAGGCCTTGGCAGCACTGCCTAGACCAGCCGTGGGCAAACTACGGCCCGCGGGCCGGATCCGGCCCATTTGAAATGAATAAAACTAAAAAAAAAAAGACCGTACCCTTTTATGTAATGATGTTTACTTTGAATTTATATTAGTTCACACAAACACTCCATCCATGCTTTTGTTCCGGCCTCCGGTCCAGCTTAAGAACCCATTGTGGCCCTCGAGTCAGAAAGCTTGCCCACCCCTGGGCTAGAACCAGTGCCTCTGACCGTGTCTTGGTTCGTGGTCCAGCCAAGCCGAAGCATAGAATGGTGCACCCGAGTCTCCAGGTGCACGTCTGTCTGGCGTTCTCCGTCGCTCTTAACGGAGCTCTGTGTGCCGTCCTCGCGTCTTCCTGCGGTGGCCACAGGCTCCCTCCCGTGAAGACCTCCTCTGGCTCTCAGGCCATGGCGAGGGCAGAGGAGGGGCAGCTGGGGGTGCCCGGCCACACACTGAGCCTGTCTGCCATGGCTCTCCTGGGCCAGGGCTAGGGTCATCGTTTGGTGTTGCCCTGTCCCTGTCTGCCTGCTTGATTTTCAGGGAAGGGGGATCCTGACTGGCCTACTCAGGGCTCTGTGTCCACCTGTGATCTGGCCAGCTGGACCAGGGTAGGGGGCCCAGAGGCCAGGGTCGTGGGGTCATGCTGGGCAACTGTGGCTGAGGCTGGGCCACCCACCCCAACAGGTATGTGCGCTGAGCTGGTAAAGGGTGTCTCCTGTACCGGCAGGTAGAAATGAAGTTGGGCTATAATTATTGAACTGCCTCTGGAATATCAATCAGTATGAATAAATGTCATAGGCATCAGTCCTTACTGAAATGTATGCTTCTCCATTTTGCTACTGTGTCCTCAGATGACAGTTTTCAATGCTGTGGAACCTGGTCGCTAAGGTGCGCATTTGGGTATGACCCCTCACTGCTACTAATGTTTCTTTTCCACTTTGTCTTTTTAATGCCCAGAGAATGACATTGACCTTGAAGGTCTGGTGAATGATATGAATACATCTTTGGAGAGCCTGTGCCCATCTGGCAACATGCAGTCCGAGACGGTGCCCCTGCGCCAGAATGGCCAGCACACCCGTGGCCAGCCGCTACCTGCAGGAGCAAGGCCCGCGGAGCCGCAGGCGTCTGCGCAGCAGAAGGTGCAGCGCTCCCAGCCCATGCACATCCTGGCTGTCAGGTGGGAGCCCGGGCCTCGCGGGGGTCGCGTGGGGGCAGAGCTGCTGCTCTCTGCTGGTTACGTGGTGATGGGGGTGGTGGGGGTGGCCTCGGGGGGCCCACGGGCAGATACAAGCCTCTTCCCCGTGTAGCGTGACTGCACTGGGCAGGGCTTGGTACCTGGTTCAGCTTAGATGACGTATTGAGCCGGGCGCGGGGCCAGGTGGGAGGATGTCAAAGAAGCCGTCAGAGGAGACTGCTCTGGAAAGAATGAAATGGCCGGGCAGTCAATGGAGGTATCCAGGCCTCACTGCCCAGAGCAGGGTCCAGGACCGGGGGCCGTCAGAATGGCACCACCTCAGACATGTGACGAACCCCCAGGGAGTGAGTGGAGGAGCCTCTGGGAAGACGGGGCTGGAGGGAGGGACCGGAGGAGAGTTCCTTGCAGAGGACGGTAGGTCTCTGAGCTGGGTGAGTCCAGGAAGGGGGAGAGCTCCCGGCAGTGGAGCTGCTCCCGGTGGCAGGATTCCCTTCCTCTCTCAGGTGGATACTGTCCCCGTGTAGGTCACACCGATCTCCCTTCGCACCGTCCTTGGACAGGCAGCAGGGACAGGATGCTAGTGAATGAGCCTCCACCCAGGCAAACCCTGCATGAGTCCACTTCTGGGCGGAACCTCAAATAGGCCGGCACAGCAGCAGAGGGGGTGGTGGCTGCTGGCAGGGGAGGGCGGCCACGGGCACGGGGCCCAGCCTGCATGATGAGAGCGCCCTAGGGACGCGGTGTGCGGCGGGGCCCGCGTCAGCAGGACCGTGTTGCACGCTGAAAAGGTGGGGTAACAGGTATAAGATCCCAAACCTTCCTTCTGTGAGAGGGCCAGCTGAGCGCTTCCTGGGCAGTGCCCGTGCTTCCTGCGCGTGCCCTGCACTTCCTGCGGGTGCTTCCCTCTTCGTGCGTGGGCTTCGGTTCAGTACCGAGCACTTCTGTGCGTGCCCAGCGCTTTCTGTACGTGCCCCCGCCTTGGCTGCCTGCTTCCGGTATGCTTCCGGAACACTTCCTGTGCGTGCCCAGAGCCTCCTGTGCGTCCCCTGCGCTTCCAGGGGTGCCTGTGCTTCCTGTATGTGCCCTGCATTTCCTGTACGTGCCTCCCCTTTTCATGTGTGCGTGTGTGTGTGTATGTATGTATCTGCGTGCACTTCTGGTACAGTGCCGAGCACTTACTGTGCACACCTGTGCTTCCTGTGCGTGCCCTGCATTTCTTGTACGTGCCCCTTTCGCGTGTGTGTGCATGTGTGCGTGTGTGCATGCGTGTGTGCACTTGCGTGTGCACGTGTGCGTGTGCGCGCGCACGCGCTTCCAGCACAGTGCCTAGAACTTCCTGTGCACACCTGTGCTTCCTGTGTGTGCCCTGCATTTCCTGTACGTGCCCCCCCATTTCGTGCATGTGTGTGCGCGTGTGCATGCGTGTGCGCGCGTGTGTGTGTGTGTACTTCCGGTACAGTGCCGAGCACTTCCTGTGCACACCTGTGCTTCCTGTGCGTGCCCCCACTTCTGGTGCTTGCCGCTGCTTTGCGTGCTCTGTGCTTCCTGTGCATGCCCTGCGTTTCCGGTCCTGTGCGTGCAGGTCACTTCCGGTGTGTAGTGTGGGGTCCCCGTTTCCCAGGGTGTAGGTCTCCACGGGTCTGTGAGGCGAGTGGCGGGGTGGCCCTCAGAGCCCAGGTGAGGAAGGAAACCAGGCCTGGGATGTGACTTGGCCCTCGGTGGCGCGTGGGGAGCCCGGATGCAAGGCCAGGCCCAGGGCCCTGAGCGGCGGAGATGCAGCGAGCATCGTGCTGGGTCCCGGGCCCAGGTCGGGGTCCTCGCCGACGCCAGGGCGCTGTCACCAGGATTGTGGAGGAGCGGAGGGCTTCCCCACCAGGGCCAGGCCACCGGCCTGAGGGAGGAGTGGGCTGCGGTGGAGCAGAGGGCGCGTGTGGGACCCCGCCTGTCTGCTCTGTCTCCCCGCCCTCCACCCCCCCAGTGTCTGCTCCATCTCCCTGCACCCCCCCCCCCCGTGTCTGCTCCTTCCCCACGCCCCCCGGTTTGTCTGCTTGGTCTTCACGCCCCGCCCCCTGAGTGTCCGCTTGGTCCCCACGGGCCTCCTGCAGCGGGGGAGGGCTGTCCTCCCTGCACCCCCCACCCTGGGTCTCTCAGCCGTTGTGATGTCCCTTAGCTTAGCTTTGGACAGTATTTGTGAACTGCTGTAAAGTCAACTCTCAAACATCATTGATGGAGGCGAAACTCACATCACATAAAAGGAAGCACTTTGAAGCTCACAGTGACGGACACGCAGTGCACTCCCAGCCTGTGCAGTGCCCTCGCTCTGGCTGCAGGACATTTCCGTCCTCAGGAAGTCCCCCCGTCAGCGCGTCCCGTCCGCGCTCACAGCCCCGGCCACCGCCCCTCAACAGCCTTGCTGTGGGTTCATCTATTCTGGACATTCCACTCAGTGGAACCCTGTAACATGGGACCTTATGTATCCAGCCTTTTTCATTGAGGATAATGTTTTGTTTGTTTGTTTGTTTTTTAAGATTTTATTTTTAAATTCAGTTTTAGGTTCCTAGCAAAATTCAGAGGAAGATACAGAGATTTCCTGTACACTCCCCTCCCCCATCGTCAACATCCCCACCAGAGGTATTGTTAATATTTGTTATAATCGATGAATCTGCCTTAACACGTCATCATCACCCAAAGTCCCTCTTACCCGTTAGGGTTCCCTCCTGGTGGTGGACGTGCTGTGGGTTTGCACAGATGAATGGCAACATAAATCCATCTTTAAAATATCACACACAGTATTTTTACTGCCTTAAAACACATAGGACTTTTTAAATGCTCAGGAAAGCCTACTAAAGAGGAGGTTTTGTGAACAACCGGAGCGTTAGAACGTCAGCATCTCCTACTAGGAGTCAAAACAAAGTCACATTGTTGGGCCCCTGGTTCCAGGTCTGGGCAGGAAGGCACTGATGTGGGCGTGTCTGGGCCAGGGACACACATGACAGCTAGACGTCCGCCCAGGCAGAAGCTGTTACAGGGAGCGTGATACTTGTTAGCAGGGAGACAAACCCGCTGGCAGGGTGTCGGGGTGGCGGCTGTCACGTCTTCCAGGCGCTGGGCTCCCTTGTGCCGTGGCAGCACGCACGTTGGATGTGGGCATCCCTGCCGGGGCCACGTAGCACGGCCGCCCAGGCCTGCAGGACCCGGGGGACCTGTGGAAGGGCCCCAGTGTCTGTTTCTGTCCTGGCGCACCGCCCCCGCCCACCCCCCCCACCCCCCGCAAGAAAGCGAATGGACCATTTGTGTAGCCACGTTGTAAAATTAGCGAGAGAGCGGTGGGCAGACAGTCTCCAGGAGTGGTTCCCCTCGAGGTCTGCAGAGAAGGACGGGAATGCCCAGCGGGGACAGGGACCAGGCGGCCCCGCAGGGCAGCGCCTGGACAGAGAGCGGGCTCCCTCCCAGCAGAGCCCGGTGCCTGTGGGCCGCCGCTGCCCGCAGGATCCCTGGGGCGAGGAAACACAGGGCACTTTGCACTGTTCTCGCTTTCACTTTGAACTTGATTTTTCTGCTGTTTTCCTAATTACATCTGATTCATCATCTGTGTATGTTTTGCTTGGTTGTATGACAAGTGAGGTTTGTGTTCCCGGGAGGAGGGAGCTCTGGAGAGACGCCAAGGAGAGGGCGGTGCAGTGCGATCAGGAAGTGGCTCTCGGTGGTGCGAGTGGGTGCAGCAGGGCATTCCTGGGAGGGCACAGGCCCGGGCTTCTGTGCTTCAGGGTGGACAGCCACGGGCAGCATCTCCTTCCAGTTAGTTCAGTCTCAGCGGCCTCTTTGTGTCACTAAGCTTTGAGATGAGGGTGCAGGAAGTCTCTGCGAATATTTGTATTGGGTCAGAGAAGTGCTCATTCAAAGTCATCGGAAAGCAGTTGTTATGCTCGTGAAAATGCCCTTATTCACAAAACCTCTCCGCATGGCAGGTCTTCCTGGAACAGAAGTGCTGAAGGCACCGTCTGCGATGGGCGTGTGCGCAGTGCTTCTCGCCTGGGTCGGGGAACCTTTCCCCTTTGAGTCTGAGATGGTAGTTTTTTCAAAGTGTTTAATTGTGGCAAAATACACATGCCATACACTTGACCATCTGGACCATTTTTAAGGGTACAGTTCCAGTGTTACATATCTTCACATTGTCATTCAACAAATCTCCAGAACTTGGCCATCTTGCAAAATTAGAACTGTCCCCATTCAACACGAATGCCCCATCTGGCCTCCCCGGGCCCCAGCACCCACTTTCCACTTTGTGTCTCTGAGTTTGCTGAGGAGTGAGCTCATATAGGATTTGTCTTTTTGTGACTGGCTTCTTTTAATTAGCAAAGTGTCCTCAAGGCTCATCCATGTCATAGCATGTGTCAGAATGTTGTCCCTTTTCAAGACTGAATACTGTCCCTTTTTTATGGATGGACCCCATTTTGCCATCCATTCATGCGTCGATGGACACGCGGGTTGCTTCTGCCTTTGACTGTTGGGAATAGTCCTGTTGTGGCCACCCCGTATTTACTGACCTATCCGAGTGCCTCTGTGTCTTGCGTGGGACTGCCGGGTCGTGTCGGGCGGCAGCTTTTAACCGTGGTCATCTCTCCTCCCAGGCGCCTGCAGGAGGAAGACCAGCAGTTGAAAACCTCGTCGCTGCCGGCCATTCCCAACCCTTTCCCAGAGCTCGGCAAAAAGGAGAGCCCCGCTGCGCTCGCGTCAGGCTCGGGCTTGGGCTCGGGCTCGGGCTCGGGCTCCGGCTCCGGCTCCGGCTCGGGCTCCGGCTCCGGCTTCCTGCCGCCTCCAAGCCAGCCCCAGCCCCCGGCGAAGACGGTGAGTGGGCCCCAGGCTGAGCGCAGGCTGCTGGCCGTGGGCAGGCACATGGGCTTCTTCCGGCGGGAAGAAGGGAGAGAAACAGATCTTCTCTCTTAGTTCTTTTCCTCTGGCAGTTACGCTTGTTGCCTTGTACGACTTTTTAACTTATTGACCAAAATTTCATTTATTAAGTCAACGGTGTATCTATATGTTTTAGGAGTCTCATAAAAGTGATTTTTAGAGTCAACAGTTTGCTTCTGAAGAATGAATTTTAGTTTTCTGAACCATTTCACCACCACATTATGTGTGACTCAGTCATGGGGGGTAGACGAGGGGTTCAGGGCTGGGCTCTCTCGGGCCCCTGCCCGGCAGTGAGCAGGAAGTTAGTGTCAGACACGTGCCCAAGGTCAAGGCACCAGTAATCAACTCGTCAGAGATGGGCTGGCGGCTCCGTCCCTCCTGGTTGGCAGGGCCTGGGCCAGGGTGGGTCCCAGGCTCAGAGGGAGGCCCGGGGATGTCCTGTTTGTGTGTGTTGGGAGGGTTGGAGGAGTAAGTATAACAACTGCCATGACCACGGCACTTCTGACGCCCACTGAGGGCTCTCTGTGTGCCAGGCACTGCTCTAGGTGGCGTATTTTTTATTTGCTTATATGTCTGTTTCCCAAAACAACCTAAGAGGTAGGCGTCAGTGTTCTCTCTCTGTAGCAGGGAACTGAGGCCCAGCTCTGAGTTGATGGAACTTAGATGGGACCCGGTGTGAGTGTTAGATTTGGGGTGCATGCTGACCTCAGGCTCCAGAGCCTCTGATTTTAACTGGGCCCTGATGTTCTTTCTTTTCAGCAAAAGTGTTTCAGAAGTTCCTTTGCCTTTTCTGCTAGAACCGTTCCCTTCTACTCTCGGTATTTTTCCACGTTTGCCGTGAAGGGAGATGTACCACAGTCCCTGTTCTCTGAAAACCCTCCCGTCCCGTGCGAGGCAGGGCCGGGCGCGCTGTTAGGAAGGCGTTTCTCCTGGTGCTCCCAGCTGCTGAGCTCTGCCCCCGTTCTGACCTCACGCCTCCAGAGCGGGCCGCGTTGTCCCCCATCAGCACTGAGCGAGTGAGGTCAGGTCCGCCTGGAGCCGAGCGGCCAGGCCGCGGCCCTTTGTCACATGCCTGAAGCCCATTCGGGACGTCTGCCTCCCTGGTGACCTTCTGCTTCATATAAGGGTCTAGACAAGCTGTCTGTGGATTGGTCACGGGCTGTTTACAAAGTTACTCATCCTAAAATAAGGCCGTGAAAATATCATCTGGCTCTCGCAGCGGCTGGCAAGCCCACGGGCCTCCACCCCCACGGACTGTCCAACTCAAAGGAGAATCAGGAAACCCAGGAATTCCGCCCGCTGCTTTTCTTGGGTTGGCGCTCGCTGCCCATGAGAACATTGTGTTGGTGTCTGTGTTTCTGTCACAGATTCCTCCGGGCCCTGGAGACCCGCAGGCATGGAGCGAGCTGCAGGTTGTGTTCTCGGAGGGGCGGGTGCTCTTTCTCCGCGGGCTCTGACCTGATCTTGTGCAGAGCAGTGGCGTTGGCTTTGCAGGTGGTGGTGGGCAGGCGGCCGCGGCTTCCTGCCCAGCCTGGGACTGCGGTGGGCAAGGAGGTTGGGCTCCTTCTGTGCCACACGCCTGAGGGACAGGGGACTTCGATGTCCTGCCTCTGCACACCAAGTACGAGGAAGCAGCCTGGTCACCCTCTCCAGGGCGCAGCCTGCAGGCCCGTGCGATGCCAGGGGCCTGTCTCTACGGAGAGAGATGCGCTGGGGCCCAGGAAAGGCCACCAGTGATGGGCAAGTGACGCCGCGGGCAGACCCTGCAGCCCGCCCCCGCCTCCACGCCGCTGGGGTTTGGGCTTCCTCCCGGGGCAGGGCAGGGCTCTGCGTCATGTGCTCTCAGCTGCCTTTGGCTGCAGGAAACTGGAGGCCCTATTGGTTGCAGGGGGAGGAAGTGCACTTCTTGTGCCTGAGATCTGGGCAGGAGGCAGAGGCCCTGGGCAGCCGGGCTCCGTGATCTGGAACGGGGACACCTCCTCACAGAGGCCTGTCCCGCACACGGGTAGTGGGCCAGTGCCCCGCAGACGTGACGTGGAGAGGGAGACGGGCCGTGTGAGTGGGGGCGAGCCAGCAGGGGGTAGAGCCGGGTCTGGGTGCTCGAAGGCAGGGACAGTCACGTTCAGAGGAAGCGGGAGACGCGCGAGTGGGCCAGCTGCCTGGGGGACAGGAGGGGAGGAGTGCCCTGGAGGGGCTGGAGAGGAACGCACAGGAAGCCCAGGTTTCTGAAGTCAGGCGAGCTGTGCACACTCACGAGTGCTCCTGACCACGTGGTCGGGAGGGCCTTCCAGCCAGTGAAGGTCTTCGCGCAGCCGCACGGGGACTTGTTGCAGCAGGTTTTCCCGTTTGTTTTGTAAACACAATTAGTCACATATTTTAACCCCATTATTAATAGGGCATAAATATTGTCTTCGCTCCAAATCAGCTCTTCTCTCTTTGCTTAATTTTAAAAATTAATTTTCTGGAAGTGAATTAATTGCCTTGCGTGGGGCTTTGACAGGCATTTACTAACGAGCAAAACTGGGTCTCCTGAGGCTTGAAGATATAATGAATGGGCCTCGACATCAGACCATCTTTGGCGAGAAAAACTACCCCCGGTTGCCAAGTACAGGTTATTCCCCAGCGAGTGCTGGTGTGGAGACGATGTGCCTGCCTCCCCCCCCCCCTCCCCCCGTCAGGGCCTCCATGGCCCGTTCTGGAGCAGACTCCTCCTTCCTCAGTGCCGCCCCCCCCCCAGCCCTCATGTCAATGCACCCAGCCCTCTCTTCTTAGCCCCTGCAAAGTGTGCCCACCCGCCTTTCCTGGTGCCTTCGAGGTCAGAATCCGTTAGGACCAGAGGCTCACTGAGGCCGGACCCGCGTGTTGGGGGCCCCGGGGGCCCTGAGCGGTGAGCTGTGCGCCTGCGCTTCCCGCATTTGGACACTCAGCAGAGTCACAGGGTTGTCTGCCAGGATCCCGGAGAGCAGGGCTCGGCTCCCACAGGACAGGAGCAGCTGTGTCCCGGAATGGCCATGATGGCCGTCCCAGAGCCAGGGCCAGCCCGAGACTCACCAGCATGTCCCTGTCGTTTTAGAACATAAAATCCTCTTTCCTCGCCCCCCCAACTGGCTCCCTTTCCTGCCTTCCCCTTGCTGCCTGTTTTCTGTGAGTGATGGGTGGACAGCTGCCACTTCCTCACCCCCCCAGGCCCCACCCCTGGAGGGGCCCGGAGTCCGAGGGCCAGGGGCTGACTCAGACAGTGTGTGCTGTATCCCCTCCCAGGGGCCCCGCGCTCCCCATCGTTCCCCTCTTCTCTCCGCCCCGCCCTCCCCGGGCCCCAGGCCTCCCTCCACACCTCCAGGCTGCTGGCCTGCACACGTGGCCTGCTGGGAGCAGCTGCTGCAGCTGCAGCATGGACTCCTGTCTCCACCCCCCACTCCTCTCCTCTGGAATTTGGAGGGAGGGTCACACTCAAATCCTCCTCTATTTTTTGGCCACCACAGCCAGTCATGTGGCTTCCCTGGACGATTTTCTAGAGAAAGAATATAAGCCATTTTTGTTGGCTTTTAAGATTACAATATGCAAATGGAACGTTTAGTTACCAACTCTCTGAGGAAGTTAGTTCAACAAAGACTATTTCTTTTCCTTGGCCATTTCTGGGTGGCCCTCCGGGTCCCTGCCTCTCCTCTCCTCCTGGGGCTGCATCCAGAGCCCCAGCTCCAGCCCTGGGGACTCTGCAGGCCTGTCCCCCTCCTTCAGGGGCTGGTCACTGACAAGTTCTCAGCAGCAGCCATGACAGCCCCACCCAGAGACCTGCCCGATGGGCAGCAGCTGCGAGCTGAGCCAACCAGCAGGGCTCAGTGAGCCAAACGCACGTCCACTTCGCACTTCATCACTCGTAGGGGATGTGAGCACAGCCTCGCCTGGCAAACAGGCCCACGCCGACATGGCGCCCTTGCTGCCACCCCTGCCGCATGTGCCACCGGGCAGGTCTGTGGGCTGGGACCCTGACCGTGTGGTGGGGACCCCGAGTTTAGAGGGCATTGCCTGTGCTTGGCAGGGACCCCGCTAGGAGTCCTTGAGAGTTTCTTGCAGACTCGCTGGGGTGGCACTTGTGCCCCTGTGAGCAAGCTGAGGCCTGGAGGGCGGCTGCACCCTGCACTCAGCTCCAGGGCGGTGGTGGTGGTGGGGGGGGGGGGGGTCTGTTCCTCCCCTCAGGCCCCCAGGGAGGTTTTCAAGATGCCCTTATTCTTGTTTTCTGTAGAACACCTTTATGAAAACTGCTTTTGTCACAGTAGCAGGCCGTACACATCCATTCTAGAAAAGCTGAAAAGATACAGATGAACAGATCAAAACTGGTTCTTGCAAGCAAGCCCACCTGGTGGGGACAGAGCAGGCAGAGGCCGGAGGCCTCCGTGCTGGGCCCTGTCGCCGCCCTGGTGGTGAGCGCCATTCCTCCAGGGCAGCGCCCAGGGACTCTGAAGTCGTGGCTGACTTCCAGGAACTGTGGTGCAGGTTATTTTTAGAGCTTTAACTTCTTTAGGAGGGACTTGCAAAGGCTCCGTATTTTCTGTTCTCACTGAGACCTTGCGATGAGGAGGCTGCGAGGCAGATGGTTCTCTTAGAGTCAGTCGGAGGCGGGGAGGCGGGCGGACGGTGATTGTGAACAGAGCCACGTGCGCACGGGTGAGCTCCCGTACAGGCCTCACGGCTCGCAGCAGCGGGGCTGATGTAGAGCAGGACTGGAAACAGCAGAACTACATTTTCTCACCGAACTGACCAGCCTCACCCTGGTCCTGCTCTGGTCTGACGTAAACTTACTTTTCTCCGCACGTGCTAGGCCTGCCCATTTGGGCCTCCAGGGCACCCCAGAGGGAACCGCCTGGTGGTCCTGGGAAGCTGGGGTCCCTCTTGGCAGGTGGAGTCCCGTGCTGAACATCTTGCTGGCAGGAAGGGGCCAGCAGCCCAGCACCCTAGGTTCAGAGCCTGGCCCCCACGGGTTCGTTTCCTGGACCGGACAAGCCATTCTGCCTCCCAGATTTCCTTACCTCATGGGGGGGGGGGGGGGGCAGCGACAGCTGCCTGCAGGGTGCACTGGGCCCTGACATGGCCTGGCAGTCCCAGCCGCCCCTCCCCTCCACCTGCCAGGCGCAGCTGACGCTCCTCCAGTTCCCTCAGCTGCCCCCGCCCCCTGGCAGTCAGCCTGCTTCCCCCGCTGAGCCCCCTCCCGGGCCCCCTCCTGGCTGCTGGGACCCAGGTTGGCTCTTCCATAAGCATCTAGCCCCCCGTTTTTATAAGAGGCTCCGAGTGACAGGGGTCCAGCTCACATCCTCACGTGGAGGTGATGAAAGTGAAGAGCTGAGAGCTAGCCTGGAGCTCCCAGCTCTTTGGTGTCTGCACAGTAGAACCCAGGGCCTCTCCTGGGCCCCCTCGGCACACAGGGCGGCTCTCCGTCCAGAGCTGTCCATCCCGCACGGGGACCGGGTGGTGCTTGGTGCGAGGAGCCGAGAGCCCCATTTCTGTGTTCACCAGGTGACCTGGGCCGGAGCCCGGAGGTCCGAGGTCAGCAGGCTCGGTGTGTCGGGCCTGAAGCGGGAGTCCACCCGTTGGGGACCCCGAGACAAAAAACCGGGCTCCCCAAAATGTAGTGTGGGCCTGTGGAGATCATGGACCTTCAGCCCTGATTGTTATCAAGTTCCTGCCTTTCCATTTGCACACGTGTGGGCTCCTGCTTCTCAGCCTGTATGAGGAGTGTCTGAAAACAACACCAGAGCCCTGGGCAGGGCGGACATGCGTCGCCTGGGGCTCAGGGTTCCGTGCCAGGCAGCAGCGCCACGCCCAGCAGGAGGCGGGAGCCGGAAAGCATTCGCCCACCCCCACCTGACTCTGAAGAGAGGCTCTGCTGTGACATCACGTGCCCCATTTAATGTCAGTGTTTTATTGTGAAAGGCCATTAGCCCTGGGTGACTGCAGGGGGGAAAGGCCAGGGTTCCGGCCCACTTTTCCGGCTGACGTGCTGCCGCTCCATCTTACAGGCAAGAGACGGATGTTCTCAGAATTGCAAACCAGTTCAGAGTCAGAGCAGCTCGGAGCCAAGCGGCTGCCGGGGTCCCGGGGCCTCCCTGTGCCTGCCTTGTTCCCGCGTCTGTATTCCCAGTTGCATTTGAGTGCACCCCAGGGCGCAGAAAGCAGTGGCTGTCATTAGCCAGGCCAGGCTGCGGTCATGAGCCAGTGTTACTCACAGGTGCCCATTTTACAGATCAGGAGACTGAGGCACAGAGCGGCGGGTCACTCAGCCAGGCTGAGCATGGAGCCTCCGCAGGTCCCACCTGTTGAGCTCTGTGCTTCCCAGTCATTGCTGGCTCTCCCAGCAGCCCCCGGGCATGGGGGAAAGTGAGGCCCAGGTCGCCAGTCACCTGCCGGAGGTCGCTGAGCCGCACTGGCACTGTCCCTCCACGTCTTCCCCATTCTAACATCACCTGGGTCTCTGTCCCTGGACAAGTCATCCCCTGGGAAACTGCCCAAGTCCAGATCTGCTCCCAGCCCGCTGAGCTGTGGCAGGCAGAGGCCTGGGCCTGCCCGAGAGCCTTGCTGGGCCGCCCTGCGCAGGTCTCACTGGGGTGCAGCCTGCTCCCAGCGGCCCTCGGCCAGACTGGGGCGCCAAAGCCTGGAACACTCTCGTTGCTTCCACAATGAGCCCCCTGTGGCTGGGCGCACAATGGTCCCTCTGGAACTTCTGCCTTTCAAAGGCGTGGTGGCCAGTGGCGGGCTGTACCGGTAGCACTTCCCTTTGTGTCTGTGTATTTATTAGAAATACTGTCTCTATAGCTCCAACCCCATGCTCACTTGGAAGTTGCTGGTACGTGCAGTGGCTTTCTAGGTTTCTGTCAGCAGGCCTGCTGGGTATGGGGACGTGCCCTGCGTCAGGGACAGGGCGGGCAGCGTGGGTTGCAGGTCTTGTGGCTGGACCATGCGTCCCTTTGTCTGTCTCGCCACAGGACTGCAGCAGGCCCGCTCCCCTGCCCCCAGGCGGCCCCCAGCCCGGCCCCCCCTGGGAATCAGTGGACATGGCCCTGTGACAAAGCACGTCTCAGCTTTTAATACCCAGACTATATATAGACCTTGGGTGGCCTGGCACAGCAGGAGGTCAGGAGAGAGCTGGAGGAGGGAGGGAGAGAGAGAGAGACAGAGAGAGAGAGAGAGAGAGAGAGAGAGAGAGAGAGAGAGGAGAGAGTCGGAGGGGGGAGGGGGCGGTTTAAAAAGCCCCAGGGCCAGTTTGGGCAGGAAAAGTGATAAATGGACTCCGAGGTGCAAAACACACTTCCGCATTATTTGAATTTCGAGAGAAAATAACATTTATTGTAAGCACAGATGATTCTCTTAGAAAGTTAAGAAAGAAGGACAATTAGGAACACACTGGTTTTGTAGTTGAAAAGGTGCTTTGCATAGAAGCCGTGGTCTGTAATACAGTTAGCATGTTATTGTTATCGTTGTTATTATTATATGATGAGGGATTATATGGCTTTGTTTGCATTTTTAAATTCGTTTTTCTTTGATGTAAAGGCAGTTTTAAGAAAAGTTTTTATATAGAGACCAAAGAGGTATTTTCTTTATTTAAATTTTATTTTTATAGAGTCCATCGTGTCAGCTGTATTTGAATATTTAATGTGTTTTATAAAAGTGTAACTTCCGTTGAGTGAAATGTAAATTCTGGAAAAAGATGGGTGAATTTCTTTAAAAATTAATGTGAGTTGAAAGCAGGCTCCACAGCCCTGCTCTAGCCCCCTCCCCCCCGGAGTTTCTGAGATGGGGGGGCGGCTGAGAGGTGGGACCCGCCCACCTGGAGGGTGGTCCCGGCCCACAGCCTCCCCCCTCTGGGAGCTCAGGGCTGAGTGAGCTTAACTCCTTCAGGCCAGGAGCTGTGGGCGGGTTGGGGACAGTGGGACTCTGTCGCGATCAGCCCTCTTCTGCCAGAGGCCTCTCAGTGGAAACACACACCGACGTGCGCTCTTGGTCAGGGAAACAGGAGAAAGGTGACGGGGCAGAGCTGTGGCCAGCGTGTCAGGGCCTGACGCTGCCACGGGGGCACGAGGCGCAGGGACGCGGATTTCTAAGAGACTTGGCAAAGGGCAGGACCCAGAGCGCACGCTCTGCGCGCCCGGGACAGGCATTTGGTCTGAGCTCAGTGGTTCCCCTGGAGTGGCCACCTCCACCTCTGCAGGCAGCTGCAGCCTCCATGGAGTGGGAGCCAGGGGGCGGGTGCAGAGGCCCCGGGAGGGACCTGATTGGCTGCCCAGGTGGCTTGATTTACCACCTAGAGGACTGAGCCCAGGAGCCTGGGCAGCACCCTGTCTGCCTGGAGACAGCCTGCCCACCGCTCCCCACAGCCAGGATTGGTGGGTCCGGGGAGGGGGCCCAGCCCACAGGAGGGTGGGAGAGGCCGGGGACAGACTCCCTTTCAAGAGGCAGCAAGTATTAAAATGCCATCTTGTTCCTCTGCCTGCTTTTTCCAGGCTGTTGGGGTGAGATTTTTTCAGCATCTCGCGCTCCCCGAGAAGCTGAGGGTGTGTTGCTGGACAGAGTGTATTTCACAGCCTCCCAGGCTCCTCAGCTCCCCTTGGCCGGGGGGGGGGGGGGGGGGGGCTCCGTTTGAAGGGCTTTGGACCGGACCCGGAAAACGGGGTCACAGCGTTTGTGACTGTGCTTTCACTACACGCGTCTCTTTAGTATTTCACATTTCAGTGAACTCACATTCATCCATCTCAACTTCTCCCTAAGCCTTAGTGGACACGAGATGGGAGAAGGTGGGGGGCGGGAGTGCTGGGCCCCGGACAGCTGAGGGCAGTGGAGCCACAGGAGGCAGGGATTCTGCAATTGACCGCACTGTGAAGGACCTCACCCCAGCCACCGACGTCCCTGACACACGTCCTGCTTCCTGAGACAGCACGTGGGGAAGCCCTGTGTCCCTCAGGCCTGGCCGCGGGCCTGTCCTGAGTGCCCCGGGCACGTGGAGGGTGCCCTGCTGGGCTCCTGGCTGTTGGGGCAGGGGTGGCAGTGGGAGGTGGTGGACGGGGGACGGGCGACGCTCTACAGACCAGCTGCTGGGAAGACAGTGATACATATGTTGGAGCACCTCAGGCCTTACTTTTCTGTTTTATTTTGTTCCGTTTTTATTTCTTACTAAGCCCACCTTTCAAGTTGACTTTTCCATAACTCATTTAAAACCAGAACTAGCTTTTTCAGACGGCCTGCGCGGTCTCTTCAGAAGCAGGGGAAATGCCCTGGTAGGCTCCATGGCGGCAGCACCTCTAACGGGCTCCGAGCGCCAGGGGCCCACGGCGTGGCGTTAGCTTTCCTCTGTCAAAAGTTTTAACAGTGGAGATCAGACAGACAAGCCACTCCCTGCAGCTGCTCACTGAGCCCCGTCTGTTGCAGGATGTTAAAATCTTCGGTGAGGACGGGACCTGCAAGGTGGTGGAGATTCCGGTGGACATGAAGTCCCGGGACCTGTGCCAGCTGCTGGTGTACCGCAGCCACTGCGTGGACGACAACAGCTGGACCCTGGTGGAGTTCCACCCCCACCTGGGGATCGGTAGGGGCAGCGCCCGCGCTCCGCGTGCAGCCACCGCCATGGCCTCCGCCTCTTCCCTATCTCCCCAAGTGTTCCCTTCCTCCCTCCCAGCCCTCTCCTGGGTGTAGGGACCAAGGGCCTCAGACCAGGAGGGCACCCCTCTGCTCCTCCGCCCCCTGCCCCCCCCCCCCCCCACGCACCCAGGGCCGTGCTCTGCGGTCTGTGCTCCAGCTGTGGTGGCCGGTGCTCAGCAAGAGCCGGCACCTCTGACTTGAGGCACAGCCTTTGCTGGGAGGGTGTGACTCTCTTCCTCCCTTGGTGTCAGCGCCGCGTGGAGAGGAAGCCCCCCGTCCATGTCTCACCACCTCCCGCGCTCGGAAGAGCGTTCGAGGGAGATGTGCATGGAGCTCCGATCCACCTCTTCGCTCACTTGCCATGTCCGTGGCAGGAGAGCCAGCCAGATGGCGTGGCTGTGTGTAAAGCTGCCTTTAAGGTCCTGCGTGTCCGCTCCCTTCTCACACGCAACGTTTTCCTCCCCAGAGCGCTGCTTGGAAGACCATGAGCTGGTGGCCCAGGTGGACAGCACCATGGCCGGCGAAAGCAAATTCTTATTCAGGAAGAATTATGGCAAATACGAGTTCTTCAAAAACCCCACCGTGAGTCCTGTCTCCTCGGCTTGGGGGTGGAACTCGGGTCCTGCCATCGGCACTTGGATTTCGTAGGAGCAGAGCGGAGCGGAGCTGGGACCCAGGGCGGCGGGCAGTGGGCCTTGGGGTCGCGGTGTAGCGAAGCACCTTCCCTCGTGCTCACGCTCCGCCCGGCGGGACTCTGCCTGCTCGGCCAAGGCAGCGCCTTCTCCACGGGGAGGGGGGTTAGGCGCGCAGGCTCCGGCCTCGCAGCGGATCGGCCGAGACTCAGCAGAGGGAGAGCTTACTCACCTGGTGACCCTCTGTGGAAGGACAAGTAGAGCAGTGACCATCCAGGCGTGTTGACTAGTCTCCCGTGTGTGTCTTGGCTTTCCTGGTTTTGGGGGGTGTGGGGAGGGTGCTTGTCTGGTGAAACACCAGGACAGGCCTTGGGCCTGCGCCGTCTGCTTCTGCACGGTCCTGAGGCAGAGGGGGACCGGGCAGGAGGCTGGGCCCACTCGCTCTGGTGGCTTCATTGCTCTGCATGCAGACGTGAGGAATGGTGCGCCCCAAACAGACAGCGCGTGACCACTCACCTCCAGGCATCCGAGCGGCGTGGCTCGTGCCGTGACTCGCGTCACGAGTTGGGACCGTGGCAGTCCTCTGCCTCGGTGCCACTGAGCCGTGAGCGCACGTTCACGTGCAGCCCGGCAGGCGCAGGGCAGCAGGCACTCCCACGTCCACGGGACAGGAGGGCGTGCACAGTGTGGGCGATGTGACCGCTGTGGGGTGGCCGCCCCGCGCCCCTGTGAGCATGGTCTTCCCCGCCCCAAACTGACCTTTGGCGTCTGTGTTCCCGCTTCTGCAGAACTTCTTCCCGGACCAGATGGTCACCTGGTGCCAGCAGTCCAACGGCGGCCAGAACCAGCTCCTGCAGGTACTGGGCCGGCGGGCCTCAGGTCCCAGGCCGGCGTCCTCCCTGCATCTGCCACGGCCTCGCAAAAAGTTGGAGCGATTCCATTCTTAATCACAGATCAGCCTCAGCTCCTAATGGAGTTTAGAGAAACGAGAAATTCATGCTGACGCGGGAAATCCGCTGGAGGCCGGCTCCTCCAGAGCGAGCAGAGCCCTGTGGGCAGGACAAACTTGCCGTGGCTCGGAAGGGGGAGGGGGCAAGGGCAGGATGGGGGGCCACGGGCTCCCAGCTCATCACAGAGCCCATGGCACGCTCGTCTGATTGGTCAAGTCTGGGCCTAGAAACTGGGGCCTCCCGCACCCCTGCGCTGGGGGCGCACTGGCCTCAGGAGGCTCCTGCTGCTCCAGGGAAGGCGGGAAGGGAAGAGGGAACACACTGTGCCCTCGGTGCGTGTGCAGCTGTGAACGACAGTGAGCCGTGCGTGCAGGCGGCCATGCTGCGCCTCCACCTCCTGTAAGAGGAGCCGTGGGAGGGGGCCGGCAGGATCCAGCCCCGAGCCCTCTTTTTCTGCTGGTTGGTCACCAGGCATCTCTGCCCGAGAGGACCCTCGGAGCCCTGGGAGCCCTGTCCAGGCCTCTCCCCAGGCCCCCTGGCCCCAGCAACATTTACTGGTTGTGGCCCACGCACAGCCCTGGCCGCAAGGCTGATGGCTGCTCTAAGCGCCTGATCTGAAGTGGCTCCCGGAGGGTGGGCCCAGGTGCATCCGAACTGTCCACGTGTCCCCTCTCAGTCCAGTCCTTCCGGCCTCACCCCCAGAGGCTCTGGGCCTCTCCCAGGGGAGGAGTCCGCTGGACACTGGCTGTCCCCCGGGTGTCCTGGGAGAGCTGGTGTGCAGATGCACACGGGGCTGCCAAGGAGGGAAGGCAGGGCACTTCCTCGCCTGCGCTGCGTGGGGCGGCTTTTGGTCAGACGTCGTGGAGGTGAGGACCCGGGGCCTGTGCCTTGTCTGCATTGCAGGGTCCACTTGGACGCGAAGTCTGGCCCCTCAGCACCAATCAGAACGGTGGAGACTTAAAAGGAAGCTTATCGTTTGAAAATCTCCCTTGACCCCTAGACAGAGTCACTTGGTCACTCACTCAGAAAATGCCAGTGTCAGGGAAGCTGGTCGCGCATCTGTGACCGTGTCTGAGCCCCTGACTCCCACACCTGCCTTCACAGAACTTCCTGAACACCAGCAGCTGCCCCGAGATTCAGGGGTTCCTGCACGTGAAGGAGCTGGGGCGCAAGTCCTGGAAGAAGATGTACCTGTGCCTGCGCAGGTCCGGCCTGTACTGCTCCACCAAGGGCTCCTCTAAGGTGAGCTTCGCCACCGGCCGCGCCACCGGCAGGCCCAGGCCGGGCGCAGAGTGGGCGGGGCCTCCCTGGGCCCCTGGGAGCTCCTGGCTACCTGGGCTCCGGCTGAGACAGTGGGTGATCACACAGACCTAGAACCTGCAGGCTGCACCCCTCCCCCTCGGGCCCCAGCCAGCCGGAGGCTGAGGACTCGCTCCATCCTAAGGCAGAGGGGACTCCTGCGGTTACAGACGTTCTAGGGAAAAAATGCCGTTTTGCATGTCTCCCCACTGGGAAGAGGGCAGGAGGTGCAGGCAGCTGCGGCTTCCAGAGCGAGCTGTGGCCTCGCAGCTTCCCTCGCTAGGGGCCCCGTGGGTCTTTGCACCTCCTCATGTCCATGTCCACCCAGCAGTGGGAGCGGGGCCCAGTGGCCTCGGCTGGGCATTTCCCTCTTAAGCGCTGAGGTCTCTGCTCTTGTCTGGAGGAAGAGGGAGGCGAGGCCGGGACCCCTGGGGAGGGTGCTGAGCATCAGCCCGGTTTCCTGCTGCTCCAGGGGTGTCAGCTGGGAGGGGCAGGTGATGGGGGGGAAGGGGGAGGGCCAGAGAGATGGGGCGTGGGCGGCGGGGCGCCTTCCTCTGCAAGGAGTGTCTTTCCTCCGATGGAGATGGGGCAGGTCCCTTTCCCAGTGCCTAGCTCTGGCGCCTGGCTCACTCACCGTCCTGGAGACGCTGAGCCTAGGGACCTGTGTGCTGGAGCTGGAGACAGAGCTGGTGGGAGAGGATGGGGGGGGTGAGCTGTGGGAGCTGCCCACACAGGGAGGTGGCATGGGACCTGCCTTGGAGCCTGTGCTGACCTCAGGCTCAGAGTCCCCCCCCTCTGCGCTTTGGACATTTGGTTCTGGGCTCTGACTTGGCAGAGTGCCAAGTCCATTCTGCCGTCTTCTGTCTAGGAATGGGGAGGGGCTTCTGGTGGGGGCAGGGCGACTTGGGTTTTCACTCAGCGATTCTCTTCCACGTGGCTGTGCCCTGTGGAATGTCTCTGCCTGCGGGAGGCGCGCAGCCTGCCCTCTGTCGGCCAGGACAGGAGCAGCTGGTCCGTCCCGGCTAAACGCTGCCGCCTCCCTCCCAGGAGCCCAGGCACTTGCAGCTGCTGGCCGACCTGGACGACTGCAGCGTCTTCTCTGTGATCTCCGGCAAGAAGCAGTACCACACCCCCACGGAGTTCGGCTTCTGCCTGAAGGTACCTCCGTCCCTGTGGCCCTGCAGCCAGCGTGGGCCCCGCTGGCCGCTTTGGAATTCAAACTGTGCATTCTCCCTTGCTTGCTGCTTTTTTCTAAAACCAGTAACATGCTTTCACACTGGATCGATTCATCCGTGTGAAGAGATTTCCTGTGTGTGAGGATGTGTCCGTCCTGGGGGAGCGCAGAGGCCCCGGGGAGGGCGTGGAGGTTCCGAGGGGCCCCTGTGGGGACGCCCAGCCAATCTGTGTGTGTGAGTGCAGCTCCAGTCTGCCTGAGCCCGAGGCGGGCTTCTGATTGGCTCTGGGACACTCACCACGTCTTCCTTTACCTCCTTTAAAAGCCAAACAAAGTCCTGCAGGAGACAAAGGAGCTGCGGGTGCTGTGCGCGGAGGACGAGCAGGGCCGCATCTGCTGGATGACCGCGTTCCGGCTGCTCAAGGTACGCGCGTCTGTCCCTGCTCCGTCCAGGCTCTGGTTATCGGGGGCCGTCACCCCTCTTGCACGCGGGGTTTGGGGAGCTTCTCCCAGAGGCTTCCCAGGGGGAGGCAGAGCCAGGGGCCGACCTGGGCACTGCACATGGGGTGGGGGTGGGCCCGTGCAGGTGGGGCACGTAGCACCCCTGGTCTCCCCACTCGGTGCCCTAGCACCCCTACTAGGTGAGCCGACCTCGAGTGCCTCTAGGCACTGCCACGTGTGCCCGGGCGTAGGGGCAGGGAGAGGGCCAGGGCTGTGGGTGAGAGCGACGGGAAGAGAGAGAGAAGGACCAGGAGTCGGGCACAGGGAGCTCGCGGGAGGGTGAATTGCTTTCCTGGCCAACGATGAGACTCCGGGGGTCCCCAGGCACACGTGACTCAGCGGCACAGCCGAGCGGAGGCCAGGGCAGGGGGTGCCGCCAGGCAGTGAGTTCTAAGGAAGTTGATGAGGGACTCCTGGGGATTGTGCCCCAGAGGGCAGCTTCTCAGCAGAGGCCACAGCGAGTCCCAGTAACCAGGCGCCTGGGATGGGAGAGCCCCCCTCACCTTCCATCCCCACACACGTCGGAGCAAACAGCCCTCGGACCCCACGTCTCTCCCAGCCCTGTGTTCACAAAGCCCACGCCCGTGATGGGTCAGGAGGCGCTTGGCTGGGCAGGGATCTGGAGGGAAGTTGGCTCGCTGACCTGGCGCCAGCACAGGGCGTGGTCCGGGAAGCTCATCACTAAGCCCCCAGCCCCCCACCGCTCCCAGCTGGGCAGGCTCCAGGCGGAGCCACTGTGAGGAGCGGGGGCAGCGGAGGCTCCGCACAGACTCCCTCGGACGCACGGGACAGCCCCGCACGGGCTCCCGCGTCTGCCCCAGACCTTGGTTTGTGTGATGTCTGCCACTGGTGAGACGGAGGGTCTAAAATTATAATTTACTGATGAGACAGGGGGTCCAAAATTATAACTTACCGTTTCCTAGAAATGGTGGTGCTGAGATGGGGTGTCCAGCTCCTTCCCAGGCCACTTCTGAAGCTAAACGTCCGTCAGGGCTGGCTGAGGGCTTTGAGGGTGTCCATCCACATCCACGGGAGCGCTCTGCAGCCAAAGGCAGGAAGCAGCTCGCTGGGTCCCCCTGTGGACACAGAGGGAATAGCAGCCCAGAGCTGCCCAGAACAGTGTGTGTAGAGCACGGGGGCAGGAGGGAGCCCGTGCTTCCCAGCCTTCTTTTGGCCACGCCCCCCCCCCACCCCAAGCATCTCTAAAACCCTGATCCCTCCCCCACCCGTGACATAGAACCCTAATTATTCAAACAGCGAGCTCCTGTTCACGTGGAGGAAGCCTAAAAGGCCATTCACCTGGTCTAAACAAGCTTCCAAAGAACATGGCGTCCATGAAAGAGGAAAATAAAAGGAGGACAGTGGAAGTCCTGAGGAAGACCTCACTAAGGACTTGTTAAAAAAATAATATGAAATGATATGAAAAAACAGCAAAGTTTCAAAACATATAATAGCTGAAATGCATAAATATGTCGCAATTTTTATTTACATACTGTATATGAGGCCCCTAGAACCATAAGAAACGCAAAAAATTCACGGTTAATAACTCACTCTCGAATTGCCCCCCTTAAGAGTCCATTTGCCCCCCGTGGGACGTGTACCCCAGGCTGGGAACCACTGGTGTAGACGCTAGTGGACGGAGAAAGTAGAGATTTGGGGAGAGCAGAGTGGCCATGGACGTGAGCAGAGGTGGGGGGCAGCGGTGAAGGTGCCCTGTACTTGGGTGATGTGTTTGGTGTGCACATGTATGACCTGTTCTGGGAAAAGCAAAGTGAACTGGGCGTGAGGGGCCCCGAGGGGCTCCAGCCCCTACCCCCCCACCGGCTCTGACTCTGGCTCTGGCCCGCAGTATGGAATGACCCTCTACCAGAACTACCGGCTCCCCCACCACAGAAAGGCGGCCTACCTGAGTTCCCTCTCCGGGCCCGTGGTAAGTGGACCTGCCGCCTGCAGAGGCAGCGTCGTCCCATCCGCCTTCACAGACAGCCGCCCCCATGTCTCGTGCAGTCAGGGTGATGGGGGAGTGGGGAGCGCAGGCCTGTGGTCCCAAAGAAGCCAGCCCGTCCCCCGCACCCCTGTCCCAGGGGCTGCTCCCATCCCTGTCCCGCCCGCAGCCCCCGGACGGTTTAGGTGGGTGCTCCGCTCAGCGTGCAGGGGGCTCCCTGAGGGCTGCCCTCTCTCCTTTGCCTCCGGCCCTGAGACCTGGGTGCCCTTGGCCGTGCCGCTGGGCCCTTCGCTGATGAGGGCAGAGTGGAGCCCCCGGTTCTCAGGACGCTGCCTTCCCAGAGGCGCAGACACGCTCGTCCTCCCAGTGCGTGGTCTTCATGGCCTGTGTCCCTTCCCAGGGCCTCTGTCCCTCACGCCACACAAGAGGCCTGTGTCCCTGCACTTGGCGTTCCCACAGGAGAGACCAAACCCACTGTCGCTGAAGGGCCCATCCGTCTGCCCCTGAATTTCCACCCGCACCTCAGGGTTGGGAGGGGTGTCCCGGCCCCTCCCCGGCGCCTAGGACTGCTCCGTGCCAAGCGCCCCGAGTGCTCTGGCAGTTCCTGTGCTCAAGCCCGCCCCTCCCCCCCTGCAGCGCAGTGTCTCCGAGAGCTCCCTCGTGGCCATGGACTTCTCCGGGCAGACCGGAAGAGTGATCGACAACCCCGACGAGGCTGAGAGTGCAGCCCTGGAGGAAGGACACGCCTGGAGGGTAAGGGTACGACAGCCCCGCCCCGCGGACCCCTGCCTCGCGCTGCTCCAGGACAGTGTCTTAGGTGTTGGCCAGGGGTAAGGAGTTGGGGAGGGAGGCGGCATCGGGATGACTGGTCCGCAGCACCCCAGGACGGACCCGGACAGGAGCAGGGGTGTCGGGGCCCACACACAGGACGGTCCCTGTTGAGGCGTGGTCAGGGCCTGGGTGTGCGGGCCACAGAGCCCACGCCTCGTGGCTCCCCCACCGAGCGGCTCCGTGGCCTCAAGCCATCCTTCATGTTCCTGCTCTCCAGGTGGAAGAACGGCACCCAGCTCCCACGTGTCTCTGAGTCTGAAGACAGTGCCCAAAGCCGGAGCTGCAGCTCTGGCTCCAAAGCGCTCCCTGAGCTCGGAGCGTGCGGGGAGGGTCCCACAGCGGGGAGTGGGGAGCCTGTGGTTTCTGCTGAGATTTATCCAACTGCCCACACGTCTCCCGTGGAAAACGGACGGAAGCCCCTGCCTCGGTCGGGGGGGAGGGGGACCATCAGGAGCTCGCCTGCATGGTGCTCCCGGCTCCGCTTTACCCACTGGGACCCGCAAGCTCGTTGTTCTCCATGGCAGACAGGCTCAGGCGGTCACTCCAGGGGCCAGGCCCCGTCCTCCCCGGGCAGGACGCCCCGAGCGGCGTCGACGGGGTCGTGGCCCTGCCCGTCTGCTGGCAGCACTGACGTGGCATTTCCCTTGCAGAGACGCAGCACCAGGATGAGCGCCCTGGGCAGCCAGAGCCCCCTCGCCCACTCCTCCCTCAACACCGGTACGTGGCTCTGCCTGTGTGGCTCCCACCCCTCCACGCGCTGTCCGCCCAGAGTGCCCGCCGGGCCTCAGGGAGGGCCCCCCGCCACACCGTTCTGCTTGGGCCGCCCCCGCAGGGCCGCGACCCAACCTCCCTCTCCCTCCGCAGTGATTCACAAGAGCCAGCACTGGTTCCATGGCCGCATCTCCAGGGAGGAGTCGCACCGCATCATCAAGCAGCAGGGGCTGGTGGACGGGTAAGCACGGGCAGGCGCTGAGGGCCATGCCAGGCGGGCGCGTGGTCCGTCCAGGCCTCACTCCTGGGCGGGGCAGAGGGAGGTCCGCACTGAGCAGAGGAGGGCACGCAGGGCGTGTGCTGCACGAGGCCTGTCCACCAGTGAGGGTCGCCATTTCTGCACGTGCTGTCGCCGAGCCGCCTGTGCTGAAGGGAGCACACAGGCCAGTCACTCTGATCAGTCAGGCCCTGGGCACCTGTGTGCCCTCCGTCAGCGTCGAGGGGGGCACACGGCCCAGCCCACAGCCGACCCGGGGCCTCTCTCGCCTGGGCCAGCTCCGAGCGGGGCTGGCTTCCTGCGCCTCTGGTGGCTGGCGCTGGCCAGTGGCCATAGCAACGGGGTCACTGGGCACGTCTCCTGGCGGTGTCCGCGCTGTGGCCCTCCCAGGGCCCCCCGAGGCTAAGCCTGGCCACATCTCAGCATCCCGGGGGCACTGGCCAGGGGCGGGGTGCAGCCCTGTGACTGGGGGCGGCTCCTGCAGCAGCGGCGGGTCCCTGCAGAGCTCACCGCCACTCCTCGCCCGCACAGGAGCCGCCCTGGGGCTCCTCCCTGACCAGGCAGTGGGACGCCCGGCCACTTCCTGGCCCGCCGGCCGTGCTGGGTCTGCTCACCTCGGTCTGGGAAGCTGCCGAACCCAAAGCATAATCCTTTGCCCTTCACCGTTGAAGTCTTACTGTGGGAATTCAAAGCCTGACCTAGGAGGGAAGAGGGCTGTGTGCCCCCCTCTGCTGCTCCCGCTTCAGAACCTGCTCTCTGACTGTCCCCTTCCCCTCGTTTCTGCCTCCCGCCCCCTCTCCTTTGAGACCTTCTAGAGCAGCGGTTCTCAACCTGTGGGTCGCACCCCTTTGGGGGTCGAACGACCCTTTCACAGGGGTCGCCTAAGACCATCGGAAAACACATCTATAATTCCATATTGTTTTCTGATTAATCACTATGCTTTCATTATGTTCAATTTGTAACAATGAAAATACATCCTACATATCAGATATTTACATGACGATTCATAACAGTAGCAAAATTACAGTTATGAAGTAGCAACGAAAATAATTTTATGGTTGGGGGTCACCACAGCATGAGGATCTGCATTAAAGGGTCGAGGCGTTAGGAAGGTTGAGAACCACTGCCCTAGAGGGAACCAGGGCGAAGCTTTTGTCACCTCTAAGGGCCCTTCCTCCCGACCCAGCAGCGTCCGTTACGCTGTAAAAGGAAGGGGTCGCGGAAGGGACAGCTGAACACTCCTAACAATAAAGACTTTTTAAATAAAAATAGGAAACAGCAACAAACAAAAAAATTACCTAACATCCCGTCCATGTTCCCATGTCCCCAGTTGCTTAAAAAAAAGTCCTTGACATTCAGTTGGTTTGGATCAGGGTCCACAGTGCACTTGGCCCGTGTGTCTCTAAGTCTCCTCGAGGAGGGTCGGCGCGCCCGGCCTGGCCTCTCGCCCCGCCCAGCCCTGGCTGCAGCAGGGGCACCGTGGCCTGCTGGGGACAGTCCGGCTGCGCGTAGCCTCGGGGCTCCGGGAGCGGCCTGGGCACGAGGAAGGCTCCGTCCTCCGCTGGGCCTGGTCCTCCCGTGCGCTCAGTGTGGGGCAGGGCTCGGGGCGTGGGCCTGACCCGCGCTGGCCATGTGGTTTCGACCTGTTCAGCGTCAGTGTTGTGTTAAGAGAACAAACTTGTCCTTTTCTGGCTCGACGACCCCTTCGTTTCTCAGTGAAGTCCGTTCCCTGGTCATGTACGTCCTCGCTTTCCTGGGAAAGGAGCTGAATACTTAATGGTCAGGCTTCAGAGCGCTGGCGTGGTGCTCCACCGTCCTTGCTAGTGACAAGTGAGGTTCTTCTTATTTAACTCGGGAGTTTAGACTCTTACGTTTGATTTATTTCAACCAAAATGTGTTCTTCCTGACGCTGCATGTGCCGTCCCCGGTCAGCAGGGCCCCTTCCTCCGTGGCGCCCAGGCCCTGTGACCGGCCCTGAGCGTGGTGACCTCAGAGGACGGGGGACGGTGCAGGAGGCGCCGGGGCACAGTGTCCCAGGTCGGGGGAACGGGACAAGTCCTGACGCCCGTTTCTCTCCCACGAGAAGCCCCAGGCTTTCCGCAGTCGGGCTAGAGCGGGCACTGCCCCTCAACACTGCCGGCCGCGCTGCTGTCGCCGCGGGAGATGGAGGCGTGGGGTCCTCCCTGCTCTGGTGCTCCTGCCTCCCCCACACTGGGAGGCCCCAGTGAGGACCTTAGCTCACTGGTGCGGTGCGCCCCACTCCTGCCTCCCCCGCACTGGGAGGCCCCAGTGAGGACCTTAGCTCACTGGTGCGGTGCGCCCCACTCCTGCCTCCCCCGCACTGGGAGGCCCCAGTGAGGACCTTAGCTCACTGGTGCGGTGCGCCCCACTCTGACAGGCTTTACCCTGTAAACGTGGGGAGATTCACACGGACACGCACTCGGGAGGATGCGCAAGACCCCTTCCGTCCTTAGGAACTCAGAGGCCCCCCCCCCGCCCCCCCCCCCCCCCCCCGCCCCGGGTCCTCCAAGCTCTCACATGGTCAGCGTCATTGCTTCGGCTCCTCTTTGGTTTTTGAAGAGAGTGGATCAGGTGCGCTTTTTAAATACACGCAAACGTGCTCGGCTGCCTGTCCTGCTCCCGCCTCGCCCGCTGGGAAAGCCAAGCCGCGCGGCTGCGTGCAGCTGTCGGCAGGGAGGTCTGCTCGCTCCCGCGGCTCCAGGCTCAGGCTCTGGCACACGGGCCCGTCATGCATCTCCTGCTCTTGCTGGTGTCTTTGCCGGTGAGTTCTTAGAAGCCGAGTGCGAGAGGCAGGCAGAGGCTTAGGTGACGCCTTGCACTGTGGCCAGGGTTTCCTTGGCAGTGGGCACCTCGCCACGGCTCCCCAACATCAGGAGAGCGGGAAGGCCAGGCCTTTCCCGAGGCTAAGGCGTTGGAGGGGGGTTTCTGCGGGTGCTCTCGGTTACAGTTTTCCTCACGTGGTCACATCGGTCGCTTCTGACCCCTGTCCCACAGTCCTGACGGCCTCGTGTACAGCTTGGCTTCCAGGGCTTGTATTGTTTCTTTCCTCCCTCCTTCCTTCCCTTCTCTTTTCCTTCCCTGTTATTCAGTAGTCCCACAGCTACTTACTCCAGTTGTCACTGAATCACAGAGAGTCCCCCTGAAAGCACGGAAGATGACCCCTAAGCCATAGCGGGTGTTTCCTGTCCACGGGGTCGCGCACACGGGGGAGAGTGGCCTAACGCTGAGCCCGTTCGCTGATAAGCTTTGCATTTTTGTTTCTGTTTCTTTTTTTGGGGGGGAGGGGTTCCCAGGCCCCCAGCATAGACTGCTCAGTGGAAGGCAGAGCGTAGGTAACCTGTGATGACCTGTTCCCACCCTGAGCCTCATCCGAAGGGAGCCCCAAAGTGTTCCCGGGGTGGCACTGCTGGCCACAGTGCCCCTGCCCCGGCGCTCAGGAAGCTGAGGGGTCCGCCTCCCGGGGATGTGTCGCCAGGAAAGTGCAGACCCTTCGCCTTGGCCCTGGGGCCCGGCCAGCGGCCCACTTTGCCGCACTCTGGTGGGGGCCTGGGGCTAGGTCAGCACGCTCTGCCCCTGGGGTCAGCTCCACAGGGCAACACAGGACAGGGCGGCCGGGTGGCCTCCACTCACACCTGGAGGAGAGTGAGGGCAAGAAACACACCCAGGAGGGGCTGCGGCCCCCACACATGCACCCCCACCGCCCGCAGGGCTCCTGATGAGCAGCGGCCGCCCTGCCTAACGGGGTGCAGCCTCATCCGAGGTGCATGCTCCCCGCCATCAGGGCTCACCCTGACCCTTCCCTGTGCCGGCGCGTCTCCCTAGTCTGCCTCTGTCTCCCATGGATCCTGGTTCTGAGCAGAAGCCAGTTCTTCTAGAATGTGCCTCGGGCTGGTGGGTCGGGTGTCGCATTTGGGACAGGAGAGCTGCTGAGGCATCCTCGGAGTCTCTTGGGGGCGTCCAGGGTGCGCCTTCTGCTCTGAGGAGGAGCTTTTCTTCATCGCAGACTCCTGGTCCTGCTGACCTGGCTCCACCCATCCCTGCTGTTCACTCTCTGCCCAGAGCTGGCCAGGCTGCCTTTGGCCGTCACCTTTGAGCTTCCTCACCCCACGGACCGAGTGTTCCAGCCGCACCCCCCTCCCCCGAGCCGCAGGGCCCTCGGCACCAGGGAGCCCTGGGTCCTCGGGGAGTGATGTGAGAGTCCCCGGCCTGGGTGTGCGGGTGCTGCTGCGCCAGAGGCCGGTGCATGCCGACCCCCGAGCACCGTGGCTCCGGGGAAGCGTGTGTGCGCGTGTATGTGTGTGCGCGTATGTGTGTGCGTGCGTGTATGTGTGTGCGTGTGTATCTCTGTGTGTGCGCGTGTATCTGTGTGTGTGCACGTGTGTGTGCGTGTGTATGTGCGTGTATCTCTGTGTGTGCGCGTGTATCTCTGTGTGTGCGCGTGTATCTCTGTGTGCGCGCGTGTATCTGCGCGCGCGCGTGTATGTGTGCGCGCGCGTGTGTATGTGTGTGTGCGCGTGTATCTGTGTGTGCGTACGTGTATCTGTGTGCGCGTGTATCTGTGTGCGCACGTGTGTGCACGTGTGTGCGCGCGTGTGCATGTGTGTGTGCGCGTGTATCTGTGTGTGCGCGTATGTGTGTGTGCGCGTGTATCTGTGTGTGTGCGCGTATGTGTGTGTGCGCACTGAGTCTGGAGTTTCACATTGACGGTCAGTCACCTTCCCTTCCCAGGCTCTTCCTGGTCCGCGACAGCCAGAGCAACCCCAAGGCTTACGTGCTCACGCTGAGCCACCACCAGAAAATAAAAAATTTCCAGATCTTACCTGTGAGTATCGATGTCATCCTGCTAATGCTCTTTTCTGCTGGTTTTATTCTTAATGCAGTTTCCAGGTTATAAACCAACCGGACTGCAGAGCAGTCACTGTCAGACTGCTCACACTCACGGGGGCGATGCTTAAAGGGTGTCCCGGGAGGCTTTTCTGGAGGGGAGCTGTTTCCTGGCAGGGAGGGGGAGCGGGCCTGTGCCGGCCAGGCCCCTGTGGCTCTAACCTGGGAGTGTCTTGTCTCTCTTAGTGTGAGGAGGAGGGGCAGGTGTTCTTCAGCCTGGACGACGGGAACACCAAGTTCTCCGACCTGATCCAGCTCGTCGACTTCTACCAGCTCAATAAGGGGGTGCTGCCCTGCAAGCTCAAGCACCACTGCGTCCGCGTGGCCTTGTGACTCGCCCCGCGCGGCCCGGCGGCTGGGGCGCACCCACGTGGCCTGGTGGCCCCAGACCCGCCTGAGCTGGTGGCTGGAGGGAGGCCACACTGGAAGGAGTAGGAGGCCTGTGCATGGTTGAAAACACACTTTGATTCTGTACCTGGGGAGCGCAATCGTTTCCCTCGGTGCCAACCCCCAATATTGGATAGTCCTCGGATGTAACGGTGATTTGTGGCTTGGACCCTGCCAGCCAAATCAGGGGCTGAAAGAACGAGTGCTAAATTTGAGGAAAACTGGAAGGAGCGTCCTGGCGGGGCCACGTGAGGATCATAGCAGTGATTGGAAATAAACTCTTGCCCTGGAATAATCTTGACAATTGAAACTGACATGTTTACTTTTTTGTATTGATCCCTTTTTTTGCACTCCTTGTTTTCAATGTTGTATTCAGCCCCTGGTGGCGGGGACACGGCTGTGCAGCGCATACAAGACGGAGAGACAGTTTCAAGCGGACGGGCACACGTTGCCGACGGAGCACCGAGGTATCGGAGGGCGGGCCCGCCTGCCGGTCACCGCAGGCGGATTCGGCGTCCGGAGAACCGGCACCCTCGCCCTTCCCTGTTTACCGGAAAAGCTTCTGAAAACCCAGGTGTCGCCCGTGGTCGGCATCGGACAGCTTCGTGGACCAGTCAGCAGCCACGTCCGTCACTCGCTCTCCACACAAGGTGCCGCGCTCGTGCTCCGAGGTGCCCGTCTTCCGCAGCCAGGAGCCTTCGTTTCCGGGGACGCCCTGCGCCACGCCCGCAGGGCCGAGTCCCCCGCTGGTTGGAGACAGGCAGCTTTCTTGAGACTCTGCTACTCTCGTCTGCCCGTGGTCCGTCCGCCGGCTCACCTGCCGCCTGTTCTAGAAGGATCACCGCCTGACCCTGCGGTGGCCTGAGCCTCTTCATGGCTGTCCTCCCTTGGGGACTCAAGGTTCTGATAAGAAAATGTCACCCGCTTAGCTTCCTGCAGAGACCCGCAGGTTTCCACGGTGACACGGATGGAAACATTGAAAGGGCATGACCCCGCCCAGATTGGCAGGTTTCTATGGTGACACGGATGGAAACATTAAAAGGGCACCATGTCTCCGCCCAGATTTGTGAGTTTCCATGGTGACACGGATGGAAGCCTTGAAAGGGCATGTCCGCGCCCGGATTGGTGGGTTTCCATGGTGACACAGATGGAAACATTGAAAGGGCACCATGTCCCAGGCCCGATTCCCAGGTTTCCATGGTGACACGGATGGAAACCTTGAAAGGGCATGTCCCCGCCCAGATTGGCGGGTTTCTATGGTGACACGGATGGAAGCCTTGAAAGGGCATGTCTCTGCCCAGATTGGCGGGTTTCTATGGTGACACGGATGGAAACATTGAAAGGGCATCATGTCCCAGGCCTGGTTCCTGGGTTTCCATGGTGACACGGATGGAAACATTGAAAGGGCACGTCCCTGCCCAGATTTGCGGGTTTCCATGGTGACACAGATGGAAACATTGAAAGGGCACCATGTCCCAGGCCTGATTCCTGGGTTTCCATGGTGACACGGATGGAAACATTGAAATAGCATGTCTCCGCCAAGATTAGCGGGTTTCCATGGTGACACGGATGGAAACATTGAAAGGGCATGTCTCAGCCCAGATTGGCGGGTTTCCATGGTGACACGGATGGAAACATTGAAATGGCATGTCTTAACCCAGATTGGCGGGTTTCCATGGTGACACGGATGGAAACATTGAAAGGGCATGTCTCAGCCCAGATTGGCGGGTTTCCATGGTGACACGGATGGAAACATTGAAATGGCATGTCTCAACCCAGATTGGCGGGTTTCCATGGTGACACGGATGGAAACATTGAAAGGGCACCATGTCCCAGGCCTGATTCCTGGGTTTCCATGGTGACACGGATGGAAACATTGAAAGGGCATGTCTCTGCCCAGATTGGCGAGTTTCCATGGTGACATGCATGGAAACATTGAAAGGGCACCATGTTCCAGGCCTGATTCCCAGGTTTCCATGGTGACACGGATGGAAATGTCGAAAGGGCATGTCCCCGTCCAGATTCCGGTTTCCATAGTGACATGCATGGAAACATTGACAGGGCATGTCCCTGCCCGGATTGGCGGGTTTCCATGGTGACAAGAATGGAAACATTGAAAGGGCACCATGTTCCAGGCCTGGATTCCTGGGTTTCCATGGTGACAAGGATGGAAATAATGAAAGGGCACCATGTTCCAGGCCTGGATTCCTGGGTTTCCATGGTGACAAGGATGGAAACATTGAAAGGGCACGTCCTGGCCCAGCTTTGCGGCCTGTGCCTGATGCCCCCGGCCTGAGACCCCGGCACGGGAGGCAGCTGGCGGCCTCTGCCGCCTCGTCCCTCACAGCAGCTGGGGACGTGGACCAGCCTCGTCAGCAGGACACTGCTTCCCGCTCCGGGGCCGCTCGGACGGTGCCCGGCCCAGAGGGGTGTCCCCAGGTCTGAGAGTGGCCGTGTCTTTCTCTTCTTTGGTCTCTGACGAGCACACAGCCCTCTGTGGTGCAAGTGATTTTCTTGTCTAGTAGCAGTTCCGCTGTTGACTGGCCTCTGCATGTGCCCCCCGACCCACCGCGGGGCCCCCGAAACACAGGCCCGGCCTCGGGCCGCACCGTGGGTCAGTCAATGGAGGGGAAACTGTTACTCTACAGGCCACACTCTGGTTGTTTTCTGTGCCTGTCCATTTATGCAGATGAAGAAGTTTTAGTAAGACGTTTTTAGCTATAGTTACTCAATTGTGTTTTCTTTTTTGTACCCAGTTTATCTTTCATAGCATTGACCTTAGGCGGGCCTCCCATTGTGCTGGCGGGCGCTGCCCAGACCACCGCGGGACTGACTCTGACGCCGCCACCCCTCACTGGCTGGAGGCGAACCCTGAGCCCGGGCCAGGTCCCGGCCGTTCCTGTTGAGTAGACCAGGCCCAGCAGTGAGACGAGGCCCGCCCCCCTCCCCCGTAGATGGCTAGTGTTTGCGGCATTTCATATTTATACGCACGCGTTTTTATTTAAAGGACAGCAGGAGCCCGACTCTGACTCAGTTTCGCATGTAGCTGTGTGCCCGGCCCTTGGTACCTCCCGGCCTCCATGAATGGATGGCGAGTGCAGGTTTGGCACAGGGCGTCCTCGCCCTGCCCGGCCGGGAGGGCCACCTGACAGCAGCCGGTCCCTGGACGAGGCAGTGTCCACCCGCCAGCCAGGGGCTGAAGACATTCGGCCTTTATTTTTGTATTTCGGTGACATGAATGTAAACGGGACAGCTCAGGGTCGTTTGGAGCCTGTTGAGTTTTTATCTGCCTGTGATTTTATTTTCTTTTTAAGTGATACTCGTGTAACAGCCTGGGCTAAATCGAGAAGGAAGACGCCGGTGTTTTGGGTGTCGCGCCCCCAGCATGCTGGGGGCGAGAGTTCCAGGATGCTTTTTTGTTTGCTAAACTTTGAAGAAATATGTGCCTCAGTCTAGAAGTTTTGTCTTCTCTCCTCTGCACGTGACACCTGGCAGTCTGACCAGCCGTCTCGCCTTTCAGGGTGGGACTCGCTCGCAGGAGGGGGTGATGTCGGCGAGCCGCGGTCCGGGCGTGCAGAAGGTGCAGGGACAAGCTCGACTCATGTGCTTTGCTCCTCTTTGTACATAGCTCCTCAGCTCATGAACCTAAGTATACACTTTCAGGTATTTTTGTACCAATAAGGGACTGGTGATCTGTTTCTTGTAATTTGAAATAAACATTAATAAACATACAGTGTTCTTCATTTTCCATGGTGTGTGCTGTCTCTTTATTTTGGACGCCGCCAGCTGGTCAGTAGCTGAAACTCTAGAAGTGATGTAGGATGATGGCAGCGCCTCCTCGCACTGGGCGGGGGGTGGGCAGCTGGAGCGGAACCGGCATGCGGCGGTCGCGTTCCTGGGCCCCACGGAGTCTGGGTCTCAGGTCAGTCACCGGGCTGAGTGGGCCCCGTGCTGGTCCCCACGGGTGCTGGACAGCCCAGCGGGCCTCCTGCAGCCCCGGCGCAGGGATGGCCCTGGAGGCGCCAGGCGCCGTCTCCACGCGGGGTTCGCAAGCACCTCACGGACCCATCCGCACTCCCATCTGACAGCTACCCCAGTGATACAGGTCACAGGGCTGTGGCCTCACCTGAGGGGCGATGTGCTTCCGGCCGCCCGCCCCACCCACACAGAGGGTGCAGTCCTGTCACCGCGGCCTTGCCCACCCGCAGGAGCTCCCTGGGGCGTCACGGCGCTCCTGTCCTTGTTTTCGGGAGGGTCCTCTGTGCCTGCAGCTCGCCCCTCTGTGGCCCCCGACCTGTGCCCAGCCCGAGCCTCCATCTCCCTCCCCAAGGCTCACCGTCCATCCTGGCCCTGCCCCAGGTCAGGCTGGTGCCCTGCCCTCACCAGCACACCCCCGGGCGGCGGTCCGTCCTCACTGCCGTGTCTCCGTGTCAGGCCATCTCCGCCAGGTCTCCACGCATCTGGCTGCCCGGGCCCTTCCTTTCAGAGCCGCGCTAACCTTCACCTGTCCTGGGGAAAGTCCGAGGGAGTTGACCGAGACGGTTACATGGAAGGAGAATGCGCATCACTGCGGGAGGGGGCAGGTGGGAGGTCGGGCGAAGAGACTAAACCAAGGGCCTGAGCCTAAGAGATAAAGAGCGGACATCCCCGTGGCCTCGAGACGGCTACAAAAACGCCCTCAGCTTTAAGGGGCCAAAACAAGGAGGCCCCTGACTGGTTGGGGGAGCCAGGGTGTCCCTGAGGTAGGAATAGCCGGCCGTTCAGAGGAGCACCCTCCCCGCTGAGGCGCGTGCGAAATGCCCGTGGACTCGACACAGACAGCCTGCCTGTAAGCTCTTAACCTGCCGCACAGGTGGGCCCACAGCCCCAACCGCCGGGCGCAGCACAGTCCAAGCTCAGCCACTGGCAGGCACCGGGCTGACCGTGGCTGACCCGGCCTCCAGGGTCACAGACCTGGAGAGAATGGGGCGTTGCTCGTGCCCCAGGAAACCATGCATCTGAGTTCTTTTCTAATCCTCACCTGAGGCTGTTTTTTCCATTGATTTTTATTCGTTTTTAGAGAGAATGGAAGGGAGGGAAGAGAGAGAGAGAACTTTCGATGTGAGAGAGACCCAGCGATTGATTGGTTGCCTCCTGCACGCGCCCTGACCAGGGCCAGGGATGGAACCTGAAGCTGAGGCCCTTGCCCTTGATCAGGAATCGAACACGCAACCCTTCTGTCCGCGGGCCAGCACTCTAACCACTGAGCAACCTGCCCAGGGCCACCTGAGTTCTTACCACGGCTTCACCTGTGCCACAGGGAGACTTTCAGGGAGGACTTGGGGGCGAGGGCCTTCGATGAGCCGCAGGCGGCATCCTGCAGGGTCGGGTGGCTTTGGTCTGACCTGACCTTGCATTTCTCCCCTTAAAGGTCACCTGGGACCCAGGCCACCATAACCCAAACCCAGAAGGCCAAATGCCAGGGATGAGACGTGGTCCCCTGGGGGCGGGTGGGTCAGCTGCCCATCTTCGCACGAGGCTGCGGCTGCCAGCCGATGCCGCTGCAGCTCAGGCGCTTTGGGGCGTGGTGCTCAAGGGTCACGACACACGCCACTGGAGCTGCCCACAGGGGCGCTCCCACCCGGCGGCACCGGGAGGCAGGGTCAGCCCTGTGGCCGCCCTGGAGGGCGAGGGGGAATCTAAATGCAGAGCTGCAGGCGGCCGAGGACAAGGGTCCCGCAGGACCGGCGCACAGCACCCCCTCGGGCTGGGGATCCGCCCCTCGTGCCGCCCCCTCCCACCCGGTTCCTTAGGGGGGCGTCTGCTCAGCAGCGGGAGATGGGCTGCGTTTGAAAGTGCCCCAGCCCCACGTGCGCGCACAGCTGGACCCTCCCGGCCCGAGGCTGCGGGTTGAGGAGTAGGATCGACAGAACCTCCTGAGGGTTTCTCACGGGGTCTGTTTGGGTCACGAAAAGTCTCAAGTCTCTACGAAGCAGGGACCTGAGGTCCGCACACTGTTCTCGAGCCGAGGCCCTGGCTCAGCCCTGCCCGGCGCTGCCCGCTCGGGAGATGGGCACGCAGTTCGCGGGGGCGAGGCTTTATCACCACCAGAGGTTAATGTTTAACCAGCTGATGAGGCTGAAAACCAGGGCCCAGGGCTGTGTGGGTGCGCAGCTCTGGGCAGACCTGCGTGAGCTCCAACCCAGGCTGCTGGCCGCCACCCAGCCCCCCGGCCCGCTCTCCCGAGGGGGCAGACGCCGCAGGGACAGGACTCCGGCCGGTGAGTCTCCCTGTTGGTCCTAATCGGGCGGTCGCCGCGGGAAAGGGCAGCACCTGTGACTTGACCCCCGGTCCACAGCACAGAGCGCCTGCTTCAGGGTGAACTCCGCCACGGGCAGGGCTGGTGACTGTGCTCCACGCGCTGGGGGCCGGCAGTGGCCGTCCCTGCTGTCGCCTGTCTGACCAGGTGGGTGCCGGGCGTGAGGGCACAGACGGGACCAGCCCACCCTCTGCTCCTCTCTACCTCTTCCCCCCACACGGCCTGTAACGGGGTCCCCGGGCCTGGCTCTCCCTCGGGGAAGCAGCGGGTGTTGCCCTAACCGGTTTGGCTCAGTGGAAAGTGGGTGTTCGTAGTTGTCTGAGGACTAAATCACAGCGTCTGGACAACATCCAGCTCGTGGGAGACGATGAGTAAATGTTACGACTCCCCTCGCCTTTGGTACGAACCACAGGGCCACCTTCTCCCGTGTTCCTGAGACCTGTTGTTCCCATTGCCGGTGATGCCGGTATTTCTGCGGCCTCGCCCGCAATCAGCAGCTCGGCCCCGTCTGTCGTTGGAAGGAGAGATTCCTAAGAGCCCTGCCGCCCCGTTGGTGGGGCGTTTGCGGTTGGCTGATGAGGGCCCGTAGGAGAGATCTCGGCCCCCCAGCGTCATCGCATGCACTCCTGTCGTCCTGAGAAGTCGGCCTCTCGCTAAGGGTCCCACCCCATGAGGGAGGGCTTCCCGGCTTTCATTTCCCGCCTGCGGGCCAGCGGGCCCCACACCACGCACTAGGCCAGCGGTTCTCAACCTTCTGGCCCTTTAAATACAGTTCCTCATGTGGTGACCCAACCATACAATTATTTTCGTTGCTACTTCATCACTGTCATGTTGCTCCTGTGATGAATCGTCATGTAAATATCTGATGTGCAGGATGGTCTTAGGAACCCCTGTGAAAGGGTCGTTCGGCCGCCAAAGGGGTCGCGACCCACAGGTTGAGAACCGCTGCCCTAGGCCGTCCTTCAGCGATGTGCCCGCTGTTCCACATCAGCTCCTGTTCTCTTCCTGGGGGGCGGGGGGAGGGGGGTGGGGTTAGGCCCTCTCTTCGGTTCCCTCGGCCAGGTGTGCATCCTCGGCCAGGTGTGCATCCTCGGCCAGGTGTGCATCCTCGCGGCAGAAACCTCACCCTTTCGCAGCGACATCGGTCTCGAGGGGTGAGAGGCATGACCTCTTCCTCCTCCAGAGCAGCTGGCCCTTCCTAGAGGCTTGCGTTTCCGTTTGTTTTAGTCAAATGTCTGTGTTGGGATTTTTTAAAAAATATATTTTTGTTGATTTCAGAGAGGAAGGGAGAGGGAGAGAGAGAAACATCAATGATGAGAGAGAATCATGGATTGGCCGCCCCCTGCACGCCCCACACGGGGGGTCGAGACGATAACCCGGGCCTGTGCCCTGACTGGGAATCGAACGCTGACCTCCTGGGTCGTAGCTTGACGCTCACCACTGAGCAACACTGGCCAGACTCCCACGCTTTCATAAGTTTCTCCTGCAAGCCCAGCAGGCCTTTGGCCAGGTCCAGCCCTCCTGTCCTGTCCTCACTCGAGTCCTGTCCGTCATCCGCACTGCGGTGCCCACAGTCACCCCTTGGGCAGCGAGGACGGATTCTGGCTGAGGGCCTGCTCCACACTGGGGTGTTTCCCCCTCGTGTACAAACCGCAGACCTCACCACTCGCCGCCCTGACCCCATCTGCTCTCAGGGCTCTGCTGGAGTGACCTTCACGCCCACCCTCCCCCGCTGGTGCCCCGCGCACAGCCTCCCAGGCCCTAGCCCCGGCCCCCCGCTCGGCTGCACCTCGTCCGTGCCCTGCAGCGCTGGGCGCAGCTGGCAGCTGTGGGTTGTCTCTTCTGTTTGTTCTCCCGAGGTCTGTCTGCCACCGGCAGGGGACCCTGTGGTGGGCCGGCCACACACAAGGGCAGGCGGGCCGCTGGGGAGTTCTGTGACCTTGGCCAGTGCCTGACCTCTCTGGGCCTCTGTCTCCCCTGTCCGTCAGTCAGATGAAGGGAGGACGTTATCTACATGCGAGGCAGTGGGGAGGGGCGGAGGCGCCTGTGTGGAACCTTCCAGAAGGCCCGTCCAGGCACAGGGACTGTGAAAGGGACGATGTGCCTCTTCTCACGGAGGCCCGCGCTGGGGCCAGCCCCTCACCCACCTGTGCCCTCCTGCGTGGCCTCCACGGGTCACCCTGGGTCACCAGGGCCTGTGCCAGCCGAGCTGGGAGAGCCCCGCCCTGCAGGATCAAAGGGCCCAGCGCCCTGCCCAGCCCTGGCACACGGCCACCTGCCCCAGCACCCCCTCCAGGCCACGGCCTGTGGCCTCTGCACAGCCAGGGGGGCGCCGGCCTGCCTCTCCCCTGCAGGGGGCCCATCTCGCAGGGCGGGGCAGAGCATCCTCCTGCTGGCTGTGCCCCTGCCCCTCGGCCCTGCCAGCCCCTCCCTCCGGCGGCTGTGCCCAC